GGCCGGCCGCCTGCTCCTGCGGCTGTGGCTGCTGCGGCTGCGGCTGCTGTTGCTGCCTCTTCCAAAGCACATGAAGCGGTGGGAAGTGAGTGCCAGGCTTGAGTTTACTCTGTCCTACTTTGGGAACCTCAGATCACACAGACATGTCTGAGGCTGCTGCGTGCCTTTCCTTACCATACTGGTAAAAAAAGGTAACCCATGATTAAAAGGGTGTCTTTCCCCCTCTCAGTTTGAATTAAGAAATCGTGATTTTATGAATGTTTGGGGCTTCCTGGCTATCTGGAAACTTCAGCAGCCTGAGAGTTTCACTCTGTTCTCTTCCTGCCCAGCCTGACTAAAGACACAGTGGAATTTTGCTAAATCTTCCCCACTTTTCCACTTCACATCTAACATGGAGGAGAGCTGGGCTTTTTAATGGAGTTTCCCCTTGCTTCCTCCAGCTTGCCGAGTGTCAGGAAATCATGGGTTTCCTGCTGCATTCCATATTAGGATCAGCGGGCTGGGAAGTCTGCAACAATGGGAGCTCTGTGTGTGTGTTTGTACTTCTGGGGAACGATGCCAGGACCTGGAGTGGGAAAACACTAGGGGTCCCACTACAGACTCAAGCTGTCAGACTTCCTGTTCATCCGCTGCTAGCGAGCTTGTTTGCTTGGGGCTGGCTGGGAAGAAGCTGACGAAAGGATGGAAACCGGGAATACGGAGGGAACAGTTGGAGTAAGCAGAGAGAATCACACCAGCAATGGTAGGATAACAGATGACATCACCCCGCCCTGAGTCACCAGCTGAAAGCTCTGCAAATTAAACACGAACAGTTCTTTACTGAGTTAAATGAAAAACCTTAAGAGATTCTTCCTTGCAATAAAGAAGAAAACCTTGCAAAGTTACATTATTTCAAGGAGAAAAATTTTTGTAGGTCATAGGTATTAGGTTTTCAAGCTGCCACATTCGAGCTTAACACTCAGATATGTATTCCAGACACAATTTTTATGGATGTAGAACACGAGAAATCAATCTGATATGGAACGTTTGCATTTTCTTTAGTGAATAAACATATAATACATGTGCTTGGCTCATACTTAACACCCTTGGAAATGAGAGGGTGTAGAATGATTTTGGGTTTGTTTAAGGTCTCCAGTGCTGTTTTTGAGGCACAGGTCCCTTTTTGATTTAGTCCTCTCCCCTTGGGTCAGCCTGGCCCTCTTCAATTACAAAGGAGCCACTGGCAGTTAATTTATTCGTCTATTGGGTCACTTAAAATGAAGCCCCTTTGAAGCTCTGCATTTGATTAATGTGCTTGGTCTTAGAAAAGAAGTGGAACTCTGCAAATGATTTTGACAAATGGGTTAAAACGGGAAACTCTGTTGTTCTTTATTTTTGAACACTAATTTTGAAGAACTCATATTAACCAGGTGCTTTGGGGAGTGTTTTTGTGAGGAAGGGAGGAAGAGAAGTCTGTTTCAGTAAGTGGCTATTAATTATACACACACACACACACGTGTATATATATGTATATATATAAAATATATATATCAGTCCCCCCTTATCTGTGGGGTATATATTCCCAGACCCCCAGTGAATGCCTGAAACTGGTTAGTACACAGTTTTATATATTATGTTTTTTTCTTACACATTCATATGTATGATAAAGTTTAATTTATAAATTAGGTACAGTGAGAGAGTAATAATAATGAAGTAGAAAAATGATGACAGTATACTGTAAAAATGTTGTTTGAATATCATCTCTCTTTCACTTTCTCAAAATATCTCATTGTATTTATTTCCAGTAATTGAAACAGTGGAAAGTGAGACCTCCAGTAATTGAAACAGTGGACAGTGAGACCTCGGATAAGGAGGGATTACTGTAGACTGATTTATGGCCCCTCCAGTAAGAACAAAGACATGATCATGACTTCAAGTGCAGAGCTCAGAAACTGCTGGGCCACCCCACGTGACTTGTACATCACAGCAGACAACCCACAGGAGAACATTGCTGCAGGTCGTGGGCTCTTAAATCGATACTCGAGGACTGTAATTGGAAAGTGAAAATTGGGATAATCAGTGTTTGTGACCCACCATTTTTCTTTCTTTCCTTTTTTTTTAAGTTTATTTATTTATTTATTTTTATGAGAGAAAAGAAGGAAAGAGAGAGAGGCAGGGTCAGGGACCCCTGACAGGGTCTCATCATACCACCTTCCTCCCTCTAGCCTTCCAGCCAGCTAGGATCCCAGGTGTGCATGGACATGTTCAGGTCTACGCAGGATCCATGCCTGGGCCTCTCGTATGGGTCTGGTGTCCCTTAGCAGCATCTCCTTGCCTATGCCACTGTGGTTGGGCCACCATCTATTCTTCACATAGCAAGTGAATGATACAGGTTTTCTAGCCAGAGGGGCCTCTGTGAATCTGGCTCTTCAACTTCCTAACTGTGTGAATGTCATTTCTCTGTGCTTTAGTTACCTCATCTGTAAAATGACAACTTACTGACACATATATGAGGGCTTTGGTAAGGATTTGTTATGTTCATGTATGGCAGTACATAGTAACTACTGCCATGTTAGCCATTACTATCATTACTATTACTTCTACCATTAGTATGTTGTAATTATTACTTTTATTATTATTATTTTTTTACCTTCCTCCTAACATTAATATCTGGAGTTTCCTCCCTTCCCTCCATTGCCCATTTTCAGTCCTGTGCTTCCATGGGCACCAGAGGTGGCACCTGATTGACTTAAACCTATCAGCATATTCCACTTAGGCCGAAGAAGAGAAATCTGGCCCTTAGACAGGAAATGCCAAGATATGCGCTCTGTCTCTCGCTGGCTGCCTGGATGAAGATGTGAAATTTACCTCCAACTGTGACTGTGGGTGGCCTGGCAATGCCAGGGGCCCATGGCAAAGTCTGGGGATAGAGCCAGTCCAGATTTAGGAGCCCAGAATGGATCCTAGTGGTGACATGGAGTCCCTGGATCAGGCACAATCAAAGCCCCCCTGGAATGTCCTGTTACAGGACTATAAATCCTGGCTAGAGCCTGAATGTTGGAGTCTGCCCTCCTGAATTCATGTGTTGGAATCTTGTCACCAATACAGCAGTGTAAGAGATGGGACCTCCAGTGGGTGATCAGGTCATGAGTGCAAAGCCCTCATGAATGGGATTAGCGTGCTTATAAAAGATGCCTGAGAGAGCTTGTTTTCATTGAAGTTTGCTCTCATTCACAAGGGAAATCCAGGACTAGGTTAGGAATAGCTGGGTACAAAGGCTCAAATGATGTGATCTGGAATCTGTTTTTCTCTACCTTTCAGCTGTGGTTTTCTGTAGACAGTGGTAAACAACAGGAGCACTAGGTGTAGGCTCCAATTTAGAATCCTGAATCTACTGGTTTCTAGTGGTTTTCCACTAACCGTATCATTTAGCTTCCCTTCGTCTCAGTAGTTTTAATCATAACAATGACAACAATAATGTTTATCTCCCAGGTCTTGAGGGGGGTTCAAATGGGTTCATAAATATGAACTACTTTATCATCATTATTGTTAGCATCAGGCAAGTTCTGTCTACCTAGCAGGAACGAGGGCTCCAGTAACATCTTACGTCATCCTTAAGTGAGATAAGCTCCAGGAGAAAAGAGCACCTCTTTCCAGAGAGCACTAGGAAAAACTCGAGATATTTCTCATTTGCAAACCTGGATTATGTGTGTACCCTGGGTTAGAGGGTGGGTCGGCCTCAGCTGAGTGACTTGAATGGAAGGTAGAAGAAAGGGGTTCTTCAATGGAAAAGGGGAGTGCTTTATGAAACGAGGTGACAGATCTAGGCAAAAGCAACAAATGTTCACTGTGGAAGCAGCTATATCCTGATTATTACATAGCGAATAATAGTTGTTGCTGTTTTACATAGTGAACAATGGTATTCACGAAAAGACAGCCTACGAATCATGTTTTAAAGAAAATTCCATATTGTTTGGGAAGTTGGATTTGGCAGTTATAGAAAGTCCCTTGCAGACTCAATTATGAGATTAAAGTTTAAAAAGATTTTGAGACATAATGAAGATGAAAATATAATAGAAATAATGGATAGCTACAGAGTGGGCAGACATTACTATGAAGGTTTCACATTTAAGATAACAAAAAATGGGTATGACTTAGATTTTGTTTTATAAATGTAAGCAATTTTTAAAAATCATCTGCCTTTTGGTATGAAAAAATAAAATTAAGGTTAAGTAAAACAACATATATGAGCTAGAAGAAAGGACTTTGAATGACACATAATGATAAATATTTGAGATAATGAATGTTTATTGTCCTGTTATGATCATTAAACAATATATACTTTGAAAAATCACACTACATTCCATAAATATGACCAACTATTATAAGGCAATTAAAAATGCTGAAAAAAGTATATGTGAAATTTACAAACATATTGCCTATTTTCCCGTTATAAAGCTAATAAAAATGATTTTGTTTTATAATACAAACTGAAAATAAAAAGACATGACCTTTGGTTTCCACAGTAGACAAAAAAGATATACATGTCATCATTTCCAAAAAGTGAGGTCAAGTACAAAATAATCACAATAATCTC